TTTTTTTTTTTTTTTTGGTTTTTTTTTTTTTTTTTTTTTTTTTTAGGGTTATTTATTTATTATGTATACTGTGTTCTGCCTTTGTGTATCCTTTATGCCAGAAGAGGGCATCAGAACCCACTAGAGATGGCTGTGAGCCACCATGTGGTTGCTGGGAATTGAACTCAGGCCCTCTGGAAGAGCAGTCAGTGCTCTTAACCTCTCAGCTATCTCTCTAGCCCTAACAATTTTTTTTTTTTTTGGTTTTTTCGAGACAAGGTTTCTCTGTGGCTTTGGAGGCTGTCTTGGAACTAGCTCTTGTAGACCAGGCTGGTCTCGAACTCACAGAGATCCACCTGCCTCTGCCTCCTGAGTGCTGGGATTAAAGGCGTGTGCCACCAACGCCTGGCTCTGAGTCATCTCTTTAACCTCTTGAAAGTAATATATTTTTTTTTTCGAGACAGGGTCTCTCTATGTAGCTTTGTAGACCAGGCTGGCCTCGAACTCATAGGGATCCACCTGCCTCTGCCTCCTGAGTGCTGGGATTACAGGTTTGCACAACCACCACCCGGCTTAATTATGTTTTTTATTTTTTTTTTTTTTTTGACACAGGGTCTCACTCTGTAGCTCAGGCTGGCCTGAAATTCACTATGTAAACCAAGCTGTCCTTGAACTCAAAGAGATCCACCATGAAGTAGCCTTGGAGTCTGCACAGAACACACCCAGACACCAAGTTCTCGGCACAAAGGACATTTATTATTCCAGGAGGGACAAGCCAGGGTGGTGGTGCGGGGTTTGGGGTGGTGGGGTAGGGGTGAGGAGGACTGCCTCTGACTTGGACAAAGACAGACAGCAGGTGTTTTTGCAGGCGTGGGTTTTAAGGAGAAAAGGGGAAGTCTGTGCTTGGGTGAGTTGGTAAGTCCTGATTGGACAGGTTAGCCAGTATAGCCAAATAATGAATTTTGATTGCAGAACCTTGGTGTTTTGATAGCTGGACCTTGGAGTTTTAGTCAGGCATAAGGAAGTGTCCAAATAAGGAAACAGGTTTTGGTGTCTAGCTTTAAGAATGTAATCTAACGGTTTAGTAAGAGAGGAAAGGGAAGAAGGCAAGACCTACTAGCGTCATGTTTGTTGTGCTTGGGCCTATTAGAGCACTTCACCTTGGGCTGGAGAGGTGCCTCAGTGGTTAAGAACACTGGCTACTCTTCTAGAGGACCCAGGTTCAATTTCCAACAAGCATATGGCTCCATTTGTAGTGTACTTTTATAAAATCTAACTCAATTCAGCAAGTCTTTTATATTAAGTAGTACATTTTGATTTATACCTTTTCTAGTTCATTTAGTATGTATGAATATTAATTACTTGGGTTAATACAGCAGGACCATAGTCAGGGTCACAGAAATACCAAATATGTTGCCAAGGCCACTGTGGCTGTTGGGGAGTATGGGGCTTAGAGTATCCATGAAGATACAAAATGAGGTCAGGATACTGTGACATTATCTTAGTCACTTCAACACAAACCACTGTTTGCGCTTGAAGACCAAAGGACAGTTTTATTTTCTCCTTCTACTTTTTGTTGTTGTTTTGCTTTCCCAAAGTTTCTCTGTGTAGCCCCAGCTGTCCTGCAACTCTCTGTAGACCAGGCTGGCCTTGAACCTAGCGACTTGTCTGCCTCTGCCTCCAGAGCATTGGGATCAAAGGTGTGCACCCATCACACCTGGTTTATATCCAAGCCAGTGATACCTTCATCATGTACTACTGACTTGCCTTTTCTCAAAAGTCCTCAAGTTGGAATCCCACAGGGGAGCCTTTTCAGGTAGGCTTCCTTTGTTGACTAATGTGTATCCAAGTTTGAGGACACACATCTGTGTCCCAGCCCTTGGGAAGCAGAGGCAGAAGGAGCAGGAGTTTGAGGTCAGCCTGAACTAAATAGTTTGTTTCAGGCCAGTCTGGAGAGGGCCTGGGAGATTGTTCTTTGCAGAAAAACACTTCCGATACAAGCTTAATGTGTTGACTTCCATTTCTGCAAACCATGGTGGAAGGAGAGAACTAACTCCACAGGTCTCTCATCACCTCTGCATGTGCTCCTTTTTTTTTTTTTTTTTTTTTTTTTTTTTTTTTTTTTTTTTTGTGGTTTCTCTGTGGCTTTGGAGGCTGTCTTGGAACTAGCTCTTGTAGACCAGGCTGGTCTCGAACTCACAGAGATCTGCCTGCCTCTGCCTCCCGATTGCTGGGATTAAAAGCGTGTGCCACCACTGCCCGGCTTTTGCCATTTTTTAAATTGACCTATACATTTCTCCCCTCTCCCTTTCCCTCCTCCCCTTCTTCTTCTTTTTAAACGATCTGTTTCTTTTTATGTGCAATGGTGTTTTGCCTGCATGCATGTCTGTGTGAGGGCTTCAGATCTACTGGAACTTCACTTACAGATAGTTGTGAGTTGCCATGTGGGTGCTGGGGCTTGAACCCCAGACTTCTGGAAGAGCAGCCAGTGCTCTTAACCACTGAGCCATCTCTCCATCCATCTGCATGTGGTTCTTGTCACATGGGCCCACACATATACATCATGTTCACACACACTCACTCACACACACACACTAAATAAAATAGTAGACGTAATTAAAAAAATTAAAAAGACATCCAGGTGGTGACATAAGCCTTTAATTCCAGCATTTGGGAAGCAGAGGCAGGCAGAGCTCTGTGAGTTCAAGGCCAGCTAGGTCTATGAAGTGAGCTCCAGGTCAACCAGGACTGTTACACAGAGAAACCCTGTTTCAAAAAATAATAAATAAATAGAAAGAAAGAAAGAAAGGAATTGCTGGGCAGTGGTGGCACACGCCTTTAATCCCAGCACTCGGGAGGCAGAGGCAGGTGGATCTCTGTGAGTTCGAGACCAGCCTGGTCTACAAGAGCTACTTCCAGGACAGCCTCCAAAGCAACAGAGAAAGCCTGTCTCAAAAAACCGGAAAAAAAAACCCAAAACAAAATAAAACAAAAAACCATCTCCCTCAAAAAAGAAAGAAATCATTATGTATTGATGGCTGTGATGAGCCAGAGCCCATGGAAATTCTGGACCCCTCAAAATCTTTTGTGAAGGGACAAGTTCCTCTCCAAAGATGGAGACAGGACCTCCATTTGTGGCAGTCTGTAACTGGTAGTACAGAGAACCAGCTGAAGTGGAGTGATCAGACTCAGACTTTCTTAGTGGACTCCACCTAAGTCCTGTTCCAGGCTTTACCCACCTCTTCCTCCCAATGCTCCTGCGGTTTTCTTCTCTCTGTAGTAGCTGACAATGCTGAACTGGAGGGCTTAACCAGGGGCTTGAAATCCAGCTCTCCTGCTGTGTTCATGGTTTATTATTATTATTTTTATAATTAATATTCAAATTATGTGTTCTGTCCTAAGGAGGTAAGAAAGATGTTTGTTTTTGTTTTGTTTTTGGTTTTTGTTTTGGAGCCTGTCCTGGAACTCTCTCTATAGACCAGGCTGGCATTGAACTCATGGAGATCTGCCTGCCTCTGCCTCCCGAGTGGTGGGATTAAAGGCGTGCGCCATCAACGCCTAGCTTGTTTTTGTTTTTTCAAGACGGGGTCTGTGTAGACCAGGCTGGACTTGAACTCAGAGATCCACCTTCCTCTCCTTCCTGAGTGCTGGGATTAAGGCATGAGCCACCAATATTAGGTGTTGAGGAGGTAAGGCAAGAAAGATGTATTTATTGGTTCTCCAGTAGCCTTGGCTGTCCTGAAACACACTTGTGGAATAGGCTGGCCTCAGACTCACTATGTAGCTCAGGATAACCTTGAACTGTTGGTCCTCCTGCCTCCATTTGGTTTGGTTTATATAGTGCTGGGGACAGAACCCAGGATTTCATACCTGTAAGGCAAACACTCAACTGAGCTATATCCCCCAACTCTTTCTAAACTATTACCTTAATTAAAAAAAAAATGTCCTTCCTTCCTTTCTCTTTCTGTGTGCACTTGGGCTAGAGCATGTGTGAATGGCAAAGTGCAGACACAGACGTCAGAGGACAGCTTCAGGGAGTTGTTTTTCTCCTTCTACCATATAGGTCCTGGGGATCCAGCTTAGTTCAGAGGTCCGGCAGGGTCAAGCCCCTTTTCCTGATAAGCCATTTCACCAGCTATAGCAAACGGTTTTTAACTGCAAATTCTGTGGGAAACGTCATTATTCATTTATTCAACAAATATTTATTCAGTGTTGTGACATGCAAAGAACAGTCCTGGCTAGAGTCTCTGCCTAGTTATGGGGGATGAATTCTGTCCCTGCACTTACTTTTTATGTTTCATTTCTTCTTTTCATTGGTGTTTTGCCTATAGGTATGTCTGTAAGAGGGTATCATAATCCCTGGAACTGGAGTTACACACAGTTGGGAGTTGTCAAGTGGATGCTGGGAATTGAACCCCCGGCCCTCTGGAAGAGCAGCCAGTGCTCTTAATCACTGAGTCATTTTACCAGCCCCTAAAAAAATTACTTAACACGAATGAGGCGTTAGGTTCAATCCTCAGTAGTGGTAAACAAACAATAATAAGGTGTAGCAGCCTAGGTATAGAGGGGAGGTAGAGGCTGGGCAGATCTCTGTGACTTCGAGGCCAGCCTGGTCTACATAGCTAATTCCAGCATAGCCAGGTTTACATAGTGAGACCTTGTCTCAAACAAAAAAGGTATAGTAAGTCAGATGGTGCAAAGAACTATTGAGAGTTATAAAACAAATGAGGGGCAAATTCAGGAGCGTGTGCACCTGAAGGTTGCTACGGTTATGCAGGACACCTGAGTGCTGTGACAGGTGGCTTGCAGCGCAGTGTGCTGCGCGAAGGCCAATGCAAAGGCCAGGAGCTGGAGGCTAGCTGGAGTGACAGCAGGAGACTACTGACGTAGCTTAGAGATCAGTCACTTGTGACCTTCTGAGCGCCTCTTAGCCCTGAGAGTACTTTATGCCACACCCAATATGGCGGCACCACCCGTCCATCCGGGCGCCAGCGGAAGTGCGTATGCAGGGGCGCCGAAAGTGAGGCGCAGCCACGCCCCTTACCGGGGTTTCTGTGGAGCTGCGGCGGTGCCGGCTTCGAGCATCCCTGCCCTGGCAGGCTGGGGGACTACGAGACTGCAGCTCCGGCGGCCAGCTCCGCAGAGGTACGACCCGCGCCTCTCCCGCCCTGGCGGCTGGGGTCCCCTGGGTGCTTCCTCCCGGCCCTGGCCTTGCTCCGAGGCCCATCCTTGCCCCCATCCTACTCTTCTCCCAGGCCCTCCCTTGTGTCCCCATCCTGTTCTCAGGCTCGCAATCCCGATGGTCAGAATGGGCCTTTTCACATTGCCTGCTGAATTTCTAGGCCATTTCCCCATCTCCCTGTGCGTTGGCTGGGCTCTCGCAGCTCCGGGACGTTTCCCCTTCTGCTCCCGTTTTCTTGTTTGGTTTACTCTGTAGCTCAGACTTGCCTGGAACTCAGTGTGCAGCCCACGCTAGTTTTGAACTTAAAGCAATTCTCCTGTTTGAGCCTCTGTATTGCTGGGATCACAGGTGTGGTTCACCATACGAGGTTTTATGCTCAGCCGTGGATAGAACCTAGGGCTTCGTGCATGCTAGGCAAACCCTCTACCAACTCAGCCACATCCCCAGCCCCCGCTTCTTTTTTCCTATCAGCATAAGTGCAGCCCACTTCTTTCTGGAGCCTGGTTGTGATGTGGGGGAGGATGATAGGGCTTCGGTCTGACCCCAAGGCTCTATGATCTAGGTGCTCTGGAGAATCCCACTGCATCCTGTTATGTGGGTGTACAGTATTTTCTATGCAGACACAGTACAGGTGAAGGGTGGAGGATCTGGGTGCTTCCCCATTGCTGCCTGCCCATCTGAATTTATATTTGTTCTTTCCTAGGACTTCTACCTGTAGGCACACTTTATTATATTAGTGTGTATGTGTGTTCATGGCATGGCATGCATGTGGAGTTCAGAGAACCACTTTCAGGAGTTGGTTCTTGCCTCTCACCTTGTTTCAACTGTTTATTTTTAATTATGTGTATGCATATATAAGTGTGTGTGTGTGTGTGTGTGTGTGTGTGTGTGTGTGTGCACATGAGTCAGGTGCCGGAGGGAACACGTGCACTTGGAGGAGTTGTAGTTGGTTATCAGCTCCCCTGATGTGGGTGCTGGGAACCGAACTCAGGTCCTCTGAAAGAGGAGTTGTTGCCTCTAACCACTAAGCCTTCGCTTCAGCTTCTGCCTCCCCCTTTGTTGTTTCCACCATGGTGCATGTTCCACAGTAGCTGGCTTCCCAGCTTCTGGCTGATCCTCCTGTCTCCTGTCTTTCTGTAGCAGTGCCGGAATGGCACACGTGGGCCGCTGCATCCAGCATTTTATGTGGGTTCCAGGGTTTGAACTTGGGTCATCAGGTTCGCAAGGCAAAGCTCCTTTGCTCACATAGCCATCTTGCTGGCCTCTGGGCACACTTTCAAGTCTTAGCAGTTTCCTTGCTTTTGTCCAGTGAGACTTTCAAGTGTTTTCTAGAGAGATGGAACATGGGTATGAGAACCATGGCTGGGGTCTGTTGGCTGCTTCTCTTTTGAAGGAAACTGGGTCCAGAAGTGTCTCCTCAATTGACAGGGAAGAGTGTGTAGTCCAGCTGCAGATCAATGAGAGAAGAGTAGGATGCTAGAAAGCTTGTCTCCAACAAGAAGAGTTCCAGGGTAGCATTGTTGTATTAGCAACTCTCAAGGAGTTGTATGAGTTAGAGATTAGCTATGTCTGGCCATGTGGTCCTATGGAGTCCTGACTCACAAGCCCCTCCCTTTCTTGAGTGGACAACATAGCCAGCCAGTAAAGTTTGAGCCATTGAAATTAGATCTTGTGCCAGGCAAAAGTAATGCACACCTTTTTAATTCCAGCACTCGGGAGGCAGAGGCAGAGGCAGGCTGATCTCTGTGAGTTCTAGGCCAGCATGGTCTACAGAGTGAGTTCCAGGACGGGCTCCAAATCTACAGAGAAACTCTGTCTCAAAAACAACAACATAAACAAACGAAAGAAATTAGATCTTGTTGTGTTGCCTAGGCTGCTGACAAACTTACAGGTTGAAACTATCTTCTTGCCTCAGCCTCCTAAGTAGTGGGGACAATAGATCCACACTACTGTGTCTGGCTTACGTGTGTGTGTGTGTGTGTGTGTGTCTGTCTGTCTGTCTGTCTGTCTGTCTGTCTGTCTGTCTGTCTGTACACATGTATGAGTGCATGTGGAGGCCAGAGGTCAATGTTGGGTGTCTTCCATAGATACACTCTACCTTAAATTTTTTTTTTTTTTTTT